AGAGCGAGCTCAAAAAAGAACGTCACCTCAAGGGCTCGATGGGGTTTGTAAGGGGATTATGGGGTTTAGGGTTTAGGGTTTAAGGTATATTGGGGTTTTTATTGGGGCTTATGTTGGGGTTTATATTGGGGTTTATATTGGGGCCTATATGTGGCCCAACTAAATTGGGGTTTATATTTGGGTCTATATTTGGGGGGCCCCGTGTTTTTGTTAACCTAGGTCTGGCTGTATTGCCTGGTCAGTGTGGAGGTCTGGCTGAAAGGGTTTGCCTCTTAGCGGTCGATCGATCGGTCGGTCGGTCCGGTCGCTCGGTCGGTCGGTCGGTCGGTCGGTCGCGGTTGGTTGGTCGGTCGGTCGCGGTCGGTCGGTCGACAGCCTGGAGCGTCCTTAAATTTCCCAGCGAAATCTGCTTCTCGCGTGGAGCGTGCTCGCATTTCGGCTGAAAAATAGATCTCTCGCATAGAGCGTCCTAGCATCTTTGTGACGTTCAGCCCCTGGTGGGCAAACGCTTACAGCCGCACCTAGGAAAAAATAACGCCCACGGTCGGTCGCGGTGTTATTTGTTTCCTAAGTTTGGCTGTAAGGCCCTGGTGCGGCCTGATAAACGGCCTTGCAGCCGGACCTCTATACCAAGCAATACAACCCTAGGAGGAAAAAAACAAGTGCTTCCGCCATATTTGGGGCTCATATTGGGGTCTATATTGGGGATTTTAAGGGGATTATGGGGGACTGTATATTAGGGATAACCTTGGGATGATAATGACGAATACCCAGCTCGAGCCTCTTGCTGGATGAGCGTTTTTTGCAATGCCACTGAAAGGAAAGTAGCATGCCGAGGGATTGGGGAAAGATACTTTGTGCCCGAAATCCTAAGCCCTAAACCTTAATTACACCTAACTCCTAAATCCTAAATCCTAAGCCCTGAAATCCCTGAACCCTGAACCGCAGAACAGATTTTTCTTCAGGCCGGGGCAGGTCAAGGGTACAGCTTGCACTGCAGCACGTCTGGTCCAAGCCTGGGCTCTTGCTAGACCCAAACTGCTCGCGCTTTCGGTAGCTGCTTAGGGGTTAGGGTTTAGGATTTAGGGTTTAGGGCCTAAATAAACGTGAATCAAATGGAAAAGAAAATGGAACATGAAATGGAAGCTAGGATTATACAAGGGTTTACAGGGTTTATAGGGTAGTTTCCCAAAACAAGAAGACCCCAATATAGACTCCAACATATTATGATCCCTTTTATGGGGACCCCAAAAATGGTACCCCCAATTTTGGGAAACCCCAAACCCTAAAGCCTAAACCTCAACTTAGTAGTTTCCACTTTCTTTTCCATGATCCCAATATATTTCCTTTTATCCCCCATATACCCTAGTGGGACCTTTCAAAACAAAGCTAGCAGCTTGCGACCCGAATCTTTCCTGTCCTCTCTTGGGAGTGGTAGCTGGTCCGCGAACAAATCTCGGCGACCCTAGCCAGACATGGCGCAAGCAGAATGATCTTGAACCATTTTTTTTTCGGGTTTAGGGGTAAAGAAGACGCCTGTTTTGGCAATGTCAACTCAGATCCATGGTTCTTACTGCAGAATCTTGCCGGCCTCAACACCACTCTTGAACCAGTTCTAGGTCCAGGTAGGGGAAACCTAAGTTCTGACCTCTCACGGTTCCCCCTATTTTTTTGGTTTATGGTTTAAGGTTTACTTACCTTGAACCAGCCTTCTGAACCTTGAATGCCGGGCATGCGCCCCATGGGATGCCGCTTCTGCGGCCCTGGCATGTTGTTGTGCATACTGTGGGACGCCCGAGGCCTGGGTCCTGGGGTCAGACATCAGTAATCTAGAAGCCTAAATACGAGGGTTGCACAAGGGTATTTTTGATCTTGTAGGGGTATATAAGGACATATAAGAGCCCTACACCTTAACCACCAAACCCTGAACCACCAAACCCTTAACCCTAAACCCTTAACCCTAAACCCTAAACCCTAAAACGCTAAACCCTAAACCCAAAA